ACAAAACTATAATATAATAACCAGCATGGTACTGGAATAAAAATAGAGACATATACACCAATGGAAGAGAATAGAGAACCCAGACATAAATCCACACATTTATAGCCAACTCATTTTTGATGAAGGCACCGAGAACACACAATGAGGAAAGGACAGTCAATAAATGGTGCTGGGAAAACTGGATAACCATATGCAGAAGAATGAAACTAGACACCCATCTCTCACCATATACAAACATCAAAATAGATTAAATATTTGAATCTAAGACCTAAAACTATGAAACTACTAGAAGCAAACATTGGGGAAATGCTCCAGGACATTGGCCTGGGACATTTTGTGCAAGAACTGAAAAGCACAGGCAACCAAAGCAAAAATAGACAGATGGGATCACATCAGGTTAAAAACATAGATATATGTTAATTATTAGATACACTAAAAATCTGAGAAACTTTGCATGTAACCACTTTAGAGAATTTTTCATCTACTTCTTCTTATCTGCCTGCCCAGTGAGTATTTGATTAATATTTGTGTAATATAAAATAAAATTACACAGAAAGTCATTTACCCACTTATTCAACTTGCATCTTATGAAGTTATATTAATGCTTCTATTTAACATGTACTTGTTGTCTCTGCCCTCTCCACCCCACATTGTGCCCAGAATCAGAAATGATGCTGTTTACAAAGTAGTAAATTTCTCTCTAAAATACCTGATTTGCACATATGGAATGATGTTATGAACCACCTGTTTGTAATGCTTCCCCACTGATGGACCAACAGAGAACATCACAAAATGGTTTTACATAATAAATTACTTTATTAAGGTTTAAAACATATATACATAGATACATGGGATAAGAAAAAGAAAAGAATTTCATCCAAATTCAGCAAAATCCTGCAAACATGTTAGAAAAATAGTTCTCAGTGGGATACTATAGGAAACAAAGGAAAAGGAGGGTTGAACGTGACCATGAAGATTCTAATCTCCAGTAACTTGGAGAACGGGGGAGGGGCAACTGGGAGTGTCCACGCTGGGCGGGGCCTCGGCCTCATCGTGCCCTTGTGCGTCTTCGGGAATCACGGTGGCTCCTGCTGTCTCCAAGCCTTGCAGAGGTTGCTCTGCTTTCACTGCTGGGTGAAGAACAAAAAGGCGTCTGGGTATAAACATTCTCAGATATTAGACTCATCTCGATTCCTGATAAAATGAATTTTCCTAAAGATGTCCTCAAAGCAATGAGGTGTAAATGTCATAAAAACAAGAAATGGCAGGAACAAGAAGGGACTCGTGACACACGGCCCCAGGTTCTGGGTCTAAACTCTGCCCCGCGGAACCGCTTGCTGGCAGCGAGCTGTGACCAGCCAACTCCAGCGAATGCCGGCTCCCGTTTCCCGGAAACCTTTTCTAGCCCTTTGAATTTTTTTTAATTCATTTTACATCATTGTCTTATTTAATCGTACAAGAGATATTACGTTGAACCATATTTTAGAGATGCAGAAACAGGCTGAGCTAGAATAGTCAGCCGAAGAGAACACAGCTGGGAAACGGCAGCACAGGGTCTACACTGTGGACAGACTGTCCGAATCCTTTTTTCTCCAGGATGCTGGCTCCTTTCAAACCTTTTCAAACAGCGCTGTAACCCTGTGGGGTCCGAGGGACCGCTGAGTGGGAGGAGGAGAGAGAAACAGAGCAGGCCCCTCACGCCAGCTGCACCCACGGTGGACCTATGACAACTATATAAGGTTCCACTTCCAGTTCTGTTTGAGAAAGTGTCAAACACTGGGTCACACCATGACGTCTCTCCATGCCGATATCACTTGCACTAGCAACTTTTTGAAGACAAGAACCTCGTCTTATCCTTTCTTTGGTCTCGCGATACTGGAAAACCTCCCCTGACCTGTGAGCCAGAGCTGTCAAGAAGGATGGACACTGTCCAGGGTCCTGCCACTGCCCTTGGGCCTCCTGCCTGAGCCTCCGGACAGCTGCGGCCTGAGCATCTCCTAAGGTCCCGGGCACCCGCTGTCTGTCTGTCACCAAAGCTAGTTACATTAGTCAAGGTACCTGACGTTGTCTCACTGTCATCACAGCTCACTGGGCTGCTCCCCAAGAGGCACACGATGTCCTCCCCAAATATCCGGAGGGATTTTTCAATCAGGAATTGAACAAGAGAAATCTGCAACACAAAAGGGCAAAAATAGGGTGCTCTTTCCATGTGGCATATTCATAAATCACATTTCACAGACCAATCTTGAAGCTTACACAAAACATGAAATTCAGAATTCTGAGAAAAACTCTGAGTTGATTTATAAACATCTGAATTTGTTTTCTCACAGAAACGACTATAATACTTGAATGAGTATTTAGGGCACAGCTCTTAAAATACTTATCAGTGGACTAAAGTTATAACTTGTGGTCTAGCTTAAGAGCTAACATTTTCATATCAATGGCCACATCTTTAAAAGCAGGAGAATTTTTTTTTATTTATCTATTTATTTGTTTATTTTAGCGTATTATGGGGGTACAAGTGTTAAGGTTACTTATATTGCCCATTCCCCCCTTCCCCCTTAAGTAAGAGCTTCAAGTATGTCCATCCCCCAAACGTTGCACATTTTACTCGTTGTGGTTGTATATACCCATCCCCTTCTCTCCCCTCCCACCCTCCCAACACCTGATAAATGTTACTCCTATAGGTCCACTTAGGTGTTGATCCGTTAATACCGATTTGCTGGTGAGTACATGTGGTGCTGGTTTTTCCATTCTTGAGATACTTCACTTAGTAGAATGGGTTCCAGCTCTATCCAGGAATATACAAGAGGTTATATCACTGTTGTTTCTTAAAGCTGAGTAGTATTCCATGTATATTCCATGTATATATCCGGTAGTATTCCATACATATACCACATTTTATTAATCCACTCATGAATTGATGGGCACTTGGGTTGTT